CCGGTCCCTGCAGCTCCACCGGGTGGAGCGCGACCGGGACAGGCAGCGATCGGCGTTGCCACACCTGGCCCGTCGACACCAGTGCCCAGGCGCAGTGCACGGCAGCGGAGGCCACCTGACCGCTACTCGCCGGGGTGACCTTCATTCTCGACAGGCCAGGACTTTGCATGACCAGACGCCGAGATGGTGTCGGCCATGCGCGTTGTGTATTTAGTTATTTTGTTTTTTAGAGAAACAAACTGGGGGGAGAAATGTGACAAGTTAGTGGCGCCCCCCTCCAGTCCGCCCGTCTGCGGCCGCCTGGCTCGGCGGGCAACATTGTTCACCTCGCACCAATAAACGCCGTGGAGCGCACGTGCTCCGGCCAGACATCGTCCACCCTCAACCAGGCTGCGTGTCGTCTCTCCTCGGCGGGTGCTTCGGCCCCTTCGTCCACGTTCGAGAAAGATCGTGACAAGGACGTTTCAGGTTAGATTAGGAACTGTTTTGTCAGATCCATTCGTTTAGGAAAACGGGGTTTCTCAGGGAGGTATCCTGAGTGTTACACTTTTTGTTATCAAATTGAATTCTCTCGCTCAGGTTTTGCCACCGTCCATTACATACTCACTTTATGTTGACGATATCCAAACCTCAGCTTCGTCGTGCAATCTCTCGAGCTGCGAGCATCAGCTACAGCTTGCTATAAATATGCTTGCTCAGTGGGCGGACGAATCTGACAGGAAATGCCTTCTACGGCTGTACAACGCTCTTGTTCAATCCCATCTCGACTATGGGGCTCCAGTTTACGGTTCTGCACGACCTTCCGCGCTCAGGATGTTGGATCCAGTCCATCACCTTGGACTGCGACTCGCAACAGGTGCTTTCCGGACGTCCCCTGTCCTCAGCCTGTATGCTGAATCAAATGAGATGTCACTTGAGAAAAGACGCCAACTTCTAAGCTTAACATACTACTACAAGATACTTGCAAACCGTAATCATCCAACCTACAACTCCCTCCAGACATCTAGATATTGCCGCCTCTTTAAGAATAAACCAAGCATCGTAAGGCCCTTGAGTTTCCGAGTACAGCAGTTTTGTTCCTCACTTGATCTTCGTTTCGTCAAAGTTAATCTTATGCGGAATGTAGACTGTGTTGCCCCCTGGGACATAGTGCCATTTGCTTGTGACTGGGCTCTCACAAAGTTTACTAAACATAGCGTCTCTGCTCTTATCATCCAACAGGAATTTTCTGAGCTTGAGAAGAAGTATGAAGGCTACACACATTTTTACACTGATGGTGCTAAGACGTCATCATTTGTTGGCAGCGCCGTACATTCTGATTGTTTTATTAAAGTGAAACGTCTAAATACTTTTTAAAGCTGAAGTTCATGCAATATCTATGGCCATAGATTATATCTTCCAGGCTAGAGTAAAGCAGGCTGTCCTATTCGTAGACTCTCAGAGTGCTGTTACCGCAATATGCTCTTTGAGAGTTACTAAAAATATGCTGGTGCAGCAACTACGAAATAAGCTCAATAAAGCTGAACATGGAGGCCTAAATATAAAATTTTGTTGGGTGCCCAGTCATATGGGAATAAAACCCTAGCAAAAATTCCAGTAGAGATTTCTATGGGACCAATAGAGATTTCTATGGGACCAATAGAAATTTCTATGGGACCAATAGAAATTTCTATGGGACCAATAGGAATTTCTATCGGACCAATAGGAATGTCTATGGGACCAATAAAAATGTCTATTGGACCAATACAGATTTCTATGGGACCAATAGAAGTGTCTATTGGACCAATAAAGACTCCTATTAGCCCAATAGGAATTTCTATGGGACCAATAGGAATGTCTATTGGACGAATACAGACTTCTATTGGCCCAATAAGAATTTTTATGGGACCAATAGAAATGTCTATCGGACCAATACAGACTTTTATTGGCCCAATACGAATGCTACTTGACCAATAGATATTTGTATTGGTCCTATAGGAATGGCTATAGGACAGATAGAGATTTGTATTGGTCCTATAGGAACCTCTTTTGGACCAATAGAGATTTATATTGGTCCTATAAGAATGCCTATTGAACCATTTGGGCTTCTTTATCAGGCCAATATCGAGCTTCTTTGGGACACTTAGCACCCTTCGAGGTCAGTAGACCTGAGCAATAGGAAGGTCTACGACCACTTGGACATGTGTAGTAATTTAAAGCAATAGTTAAGCCGTATTGAACCGGTCATTCGGGCTATAGTAGAACATTATAAAGCAAGAGAATATTTATTGCATCAATATATGGCTCTTTTGATTAGATCTCAAGATATATTACAGGAAGTGAATGATATGGTTCTGCAAAGACTTTAAAAGAAAAAGGCTTTTCGCAAGATTTTAAGAAAGGCAAGAATTTGTGTTCTTAACAATGTCTGGAATCTAGTTTGTTTGTCAAGACCCCAGCAAAATTTTAATTTCTGTACAGATCCCGGCTTTACAAAGTATTATATAAACTTGTGTTGAATAGCCTGACAGTAGCATAAACTTCTATTCAGGATTTGTAAAGTATATGAATAATGTATAATCTTGAAAATAAAACTTTATGCCACATTGATTGGCTTCACACCTTTACAGTCAAATGGAATTTATAATGTAACATAAAAATGTAGACATTAAGCATTTCCTTTCAAATATCTTAGAAATATATTGATTATGCTGCTTTATGCACCAACAATTTTTCCACCGGAAGCAGCAGAGGCAAACATGGTTTATGTTACACTATATTAAAGTGAATTCCAGAGGTCACTGTGCTTAGACAGATTCAAAGTGAAAATGCGACGCCTAGCGGCTTTTATTTATAAAAATGTGAAACTGAATTTCACAATTTCTTGCTGCATTTTGAACCTGTATAATTCAATTCAAGAATGCATTGCAAAGGAGGTAGTCCAGGCTGACAAACACTTCAGTTCTTATAAATTGTTTAATAACCTAGATATTGTGCTGCCAATAACAAGAAATAAATGGAGACAGATGAACTAAAGCAATTATTAATATATATAGTAACAAATACTCATGATACAATTTTTTTAACAAACAATGGAATAGAAATAGGTCTGCCACAGATAAACCATTTTACATCTTACAAAGCAATACCTGCAGAAGCTTTTTTGCTATAATTATGGAAACTGCAGCAGCATAGTTTTTGAACATTGTAGTATATATGCACTAATGTTATGATTGAATTACTGTAAAATACCGAGCAAGCGATAGCTCAAAATTTGACGATAATCACAAAACACTGGGCAATGGCCACTTGTTAGGTCATCAGCTTTACACATAATATATGTACTGTGCACATTTTTTCAGATGTTACAAAATTTGGGTGTAGCACTTGGTGTGGAATGGGCAGATGCTTGGTATCTTACAGTAGCCGTTTCTCATTTCACGTCTGCATCGAAATTAAATTTTTTGTGTGTTTACAATGCTTAAAAATGGCTGCAGCATTCCTACTGGTGCACTTGTGAATAGCAATACAACAAGAAATATGGTAACCGCAGACAGTACTTAAACCATAAAAATAAAAAAAGCATACTGATAGGGCCAACATTTTGAGTTGCAAAGCACAAATACAAAGACTGTAGTGAGAAATACAATAATTTCAATAGTTTCTTAAACATGAAAAATATGAAAACATGCCTAATGGTGCTCAAACATATGCTTGCGAGTTGCTGAACAAGAATATCGGCATTGTAGCAAGAAATATAATTTCTAATGCTTCCTAAGGGGAACGCTAATCCTGAAAAGTGCAAAATAAAAAAAAAATCTCAAAATTAGTGTGATTCATAACATACAGACATGTTTTCCAATTATTACTCAGACATGTACATATATTCAGTTCAACGGATTCAAAGTCACATAGCCAGGCTGCTTACAAGCCAAGCCGAATCGTGAAACATACTTTTGCCATAGCTTTTGATGGGAATATTGAAAGATGGTTGGACATAAACATTTTCCACAAAACAAAGATTTTCTTAAGAAGTAAAATAAGAAAGGACTAAAATGAGCTAAATATATATGCTTAGCCCACATAGTTACAGTAGATCTTTTGCCCAAACATAAAGTCAAATCAACTAAACGGCTTTAAGATGAGTGTCTTTCCTTAGAGGATGATAAATACAAAATTATACTACCGTAATGTTCCGAGAGAATGCCCGCCCCGAAGAGATCACCCATCCCGTTTTTCTGGCTATATATCTGTAACAAAGATTACGAAAAATCGCCCACCACCCGATTCCCGCCAGACGTCACGCGATGTCCGACGGGAATCGCATTAACCGTGCAATTTACTGTACCGGCAAGTCCGACAAGCGAGCTCATAGCGGGTTCCCACGTTTTTGTCCACAATCTGCGCGCGCGATATTGGCTCCCAGTACACACGGGTTGTTCCCGCGTGTATGTTGCACTGTGAAATGCGAATCTGCTGCATCCGCAATCTGCGGTATCCGTTACCATGACTTAAATCTGCGAGCGCGATCTCAATTCCACGCTAATTGGTCCCATGTGTATATTACTTTGTGAAATACGATTCTGCTGCGTTTGCGAACTGCGGTATTTGTTCCTGATACGTACGAGTTTGTAGCAGATTCTCACGTTTTTGTCCGCGATCTGCGCGCGCGGTATCGGTTCTCGTGACAGGCAGGTTTGTAGCGAGTTCCAGCGCATTTATTGCACCATAAATCTTGAATCTGCTGTGTTCGCAATTTGCGGTATTCGTTCCCGTGATATGCGAGTGTTTGGCGAGTTTCCGTGGGTCCTTCACACCGTTGATTGCGAATCTGCTGTGTCCGCAACATGCGGTATACTTTCGTGTGACACAGGAGTTCGTAGTGAATTCCTGCGTGTTTATTGCATCGTGAAACGCGAATTTACAGTGTCCGCGATCTGCGGTATCAGTTCCCGTGTCACGTGGTTTGTAGCCGGTGCCAGGGTGTCAATCATTAATTTTTGATAAAATTTTGCTGTGGCATTCCCCAAAGATAGCCCACCCCATGTTTTTCACCATTTGTATCTTCATTTTGGGTGGGCATTCTTTCAGAACTTTACGATAGTAGTGACCAAACTACATCAAATGAAGACTTCCCCCCGCATCTAGTCTCGCTCAAACATATTAGGGATGCTAGACAAACAGTGGGCATGGACCATTGACACGCACAGTCGAGTCACCTGGCTTGTTTCGAGAACCTTTATGCGGGAAGGCCTGCGTGCTGCACTGAAGAGGTGGTCTACCCTCGGATCCCTACGGCAGGAAAGCGGAGAGCAACATAACAATTGTTGGCCACTGTCCACCTCCCAGATCTTGTTTAGTACATAGTGGTGGCCATTGCTAGCTGCAAAGACAGAGTTGTTCGTCTTCTTGGGGCGCTTGTATGAAGCCGAGTGGTACTGGTGCCCCCGAATAGAAATACGCTGGTACTCTACAGCTGTAGTAGGAATGTGGCCCAGCTTGTCCCCTAGAGCAGCCTGCTCACTTTCACTGAAGGCTGTGTACAGCCTACCACTTCCTAGAGTGTGTGTGGACATGTCCCTTTGAGGCGGGGCCATTGCTGCACAAAATGCAACTGTCTCCTGCTTCAGCTCTACCGTGCTCATGATCTTCTTGAGGTGTTGTTGCATGACGAAACGTTCCAGAATTTGCAGCGGAACACCATTGCTGCCACTAACAAGCTTCAAAAGCTGCCCATTCCCAGACTCAAAAATAAAGGTTGAGTGTGACCACAATGGTCCAAGCTTCTGCACACTCTTTGCCAAATGTAGCAGTTGATGCACATTGAATGTCATTGCTTGTGCACCATAAAGTGATTGCACGACTACAACAAACTCTGTCAGCTGATCAGAGGCCGTCGCAATGTCCCGGTTCACCACAGTGTCCTTTAGAAGGAGGTAGACCGAATTCACCAGCAGGCAGAGGTGGTCCAGGTACCTCTGTGGCAAAATTCCCGTCAAGCAAGGGACTGCATAGTGGAGAAGCCATCCTCTCCACTCGCTAGCTTTCCAGTACTGCCTATCAAGCAATGATCGGGGCAGCCTGGTGAACCATTGGGGGGGTTTGATCTGCAAGAGGCGCCTGTCGAGTTTCGCCAGTGTTGATGGGGCCCCAACATAAAACTCTGACCCTGTAGAAGTAATCCACAACTCGCACAGCTCTTTAGCAACGCCCTCCAAAACACAATGCATGTAATCAGGGTTTACGCCCCAAACAAGGTCAAACCCTGGCAGGTTCATGAGAGGTGTTGGTCCTTTCATGCCATGGCACGGTGTACCTTCTTGTAGGGCAGCCGCCATGTCCTGCTTGACGCCCTCCGACGTCCTTTCTGGTGGCATCACGAGATTCTTAGCTATCGGGTATTTCACCGAGCCTGAAAAAAAGTTATCATTTTACACGTTTGCATAATGTAGCCCCTCAATTTTTGGAGCATTAAACCTGTTAAAAAAGCCAATAAGATTTCCAAGTTTATACAAACTATACAAATATGCAGAAAAGATTTAAGGGGCCTTTTGTTTTGCACATTTCATGGCAAATCTGTAAAAAATATTGTTCCATTTTGTTAAAAATTGCAACTACTTTTTCTTCATTGGGCAACAAGTAGATATGCAAGACTGGAGTGTCAGAAGGTACACCCCTGGCATTTTTGTTGTAAACTAAATTTGCTTCAATTTCTGCAAAAACTGACTTTCAATAATATGTCGAATTTAGTCCTTGTGAACTCATTTCACTCACCATTGAGGTAAGTCCCTTCCTGTAGGCAAAAGCTACAACCAAAGTAGCCATTGTACTGCTTGGCGTTGAGGACTGCTGCACGTGCTGGTGCGTCCACACAGCAACACACAACCCGTACTCTTGACTGGACTGTTTGGCCTTCACAGTTCCATGTGATGACGCCCACCTGTCCAACCTCTTGCACAAACTCTTCAAGGTACATGCCCATGTCAGAATGACCAGGCCCAAACCACAACCCACAGAGCAGGACGTTGCTCCACCGCAGGGTGATAGGGAGCTCGTTTATGACACACTGAAGTGGCCACAGAGACGACTTGGAGGAGTTGAAAACGCGAGCTCCATCTGTGTTCATAGTGAGTGTGAGGTCACTCCACGAGCCAGCTGCTGCTCCCTTTTGGTACAAAGCACCATCCACAATGTCCGTCATGGTGCCCTCCGCACGCTCTTTCTTCAGTGCACTGAACAAGCCCTTTGCAGTCGTCTTGTCGGAAAGAAGGATGCCCATCTGCTCCTTGATGTCGACAGTCGAAAAGAAGTTTCCCTGCGTGAAGTCTTTCCGAATGCTTTCACCACAATTGGGGCACTTCAGATCTTCTTGCGGCTTTCCAACGTATGTAGTGCACACCGTGCAAAAGAGGTGATGGTGAATCATTCGACTTTTCAAAGTCGACCAAGTCTTCCGCAAAAGGTACGCCGTTTCAGGTAGCGCATCCTTGCCGACCAAAAAGTTCGCCAGCTTTAACAATCCCTCCATTTGGGACCAATTCAGGTCTGACATTGCGCCGTAGGTCACGATACCAACAATCGCTTCTGCAACTGTAAGCACCCCATTAGGCAGGATCACACTGGCGTACTTAGCAAGAAAGTTCTGCCAGTCCTTGTCACATTCGTCGCCACCGCTACCGCCGTCATCATCGCTGCTACATTCACTGCCGCGAACGCTGCCGGAGTCAGACTCATGGCCATCGCGAGGCCGATCACTTGTGTTTCCTTCTTCATCTCTCGCATTGGTAGCACCGCCGGTGTCACCAAGGGTTTTATTGAGAGCGGTTCCCGAGCTATCGCTCCGCGAACCACCTTCCCCGTTCTCTTGAGGCATGTCCAACTCCTCGTGTTGTTGCACAACTTGGGTGGCTGAATCACTTTCTTCCAAAACGGCAGCATCACGTCGTTTTCTCCGGAAAAGCGCAGTTGTTCTGGGAACATTATAATCATTCCCTGGTTCATGATACTGCTTTCTTTTTTCTGCGCGACAGCTCATTGTAGCAGGAACACCAGCCACGCTAGGCTTGGCGGCCATCCTTCGGATCTTCAGGATAGGATTGGATTGGATTCTGGCTTAGGCTAAGAAGCGACTTTCAACTTTTTTGCTCATGTAAGCGATTTGGCGACCGACGAGACAAGCGACGGCGACCCGCTTCGCTGTCGCTCGGTCACTCGCGTGTGACAAGGCAAACCGCATGAAAGAGACGGGAACAAGCGACGAAGACGATGATCGACGTTTTCTAGAAATCCAAAAACCGAGCGACGCGATGGGTCGCTGCGGTCGCTGCGAAACCGCCGACTATCACTAATTTTGAAATTTTGAGGACAGTTGAATACCATAGTGCAAAATATTTAAAATATTTTTGAAAAAATAAAAATATAGAATCGTTGTTTGCCTTTTTTTTTGATATTCAAGTTGACTAGGTAGACCGCTAGGTCGCCAGGTGGCCAAGAGCGGCCCATGGGATCCCGCGATCCCGTGCATCCCGGATCCCGCTGACCTTAATTGTTTTTAAGCCTTGTTTCTGCTTTCCCTCCTAGTAATTTTCTTCCTACTTCTCGTAATGTACGCGTTTGTGCGGTTTCAAGACGACGCTAAGAAGCTTGTGGTGCCAGTGGTGGACGTGAAGAATTTCACTCCAGCCCATACTAAAGATTTCAACGGTCGGTGCTGGTACGACGTGTGGTGGCAAGACCAGGAAGACGATGAGCAAACGGGGTACTACCGCGCGCAAATCATCAAGCTTTACAGTAAGTAGTAAATTTAATATGTGTCGTGTTGGTCAGTGTTGACGGGGTACTACCGCGCGAAAATCATCAAGCTTTACAGTAAGTAGTAAATTTAATGTGTCTTGTTGGTCAGTGTTGACGGGGTACTACCCCGCGCAAATCATCAAGCTTTACAGTAAGTAGTAAATTTAATATGTGTCGTGTTAGTCAGTGTTGACGGGGTACTACCGCGCGCAAATCATCAAGCTTTACAGTAAGTAGTAAATTTAATATGTGTCGTGTTGGTCAGTGTTGACTCGAATGCCTGGCTTAGCGCATCGTGTGTGGCACGAGCAGTGTCGACGCGGGTTTGTCGATTTTTAAATGGCGCATTTAGCTTATATATAGCTTGCCCGGGTGAACCAGACCTATGAAGGACCGATATCGCTATGGCGCGCGCGATAAAAGGGCCGCGCGAGGGTGTGATACTAGCGTTTTAGAAGGAGTTCATGATGTGTCGTCGGCTCTTTGAAATGGTCTCATAAGACGGCTTGTTAACGTATCGCGCTACCAGGTGCCCGACGGTAGTGGAGTCATTATTTGAAAGTATCAAAGCAACTCCCTCAAATCAGGAAAAAAAAAGTTTAATTTTCTGGAAAGCTGTTTTCGAGAAATAATAAAAATATTCTAGGTAATTCTGGTGCTTATAGCGTCTAGAACAAAAATTGACACATATTCACTTCATTTTGCCGCTATACATGCCACTGTGGCCCAGAATGTTATTTCATAGTATATCGCTATATGAAAAATATAGTTTTTTTTAAATTATTCCTGTCTTACTTAGGGGATGTAACCTTCTAATAATTTTACTGAAAGCTTCCAGCATCTTATTACACCTTTGTGCTAAATCCCGTCGGCATCTATTAAGAAACCATTTTATGCAGTCACTTCAAAGGGCCAAGGAAACTCAACTTTCTATAAAAAAAGCACAGTCTGACGAAACCCTGCAATATTTTTTTAGGAACTCAAGAAGAAGCAGAGGAGGAGTGGCGCACAAAGCGGGTTCCAATCCCAAAGCCCCCATCTGATGAAGAAAGCGACTCAGAGTCGACGAGTGAGGATAGTGGAGCAGCTGTCTCGCAGGTTTGTACAAAAACAATATGTTGCAAAAACTTTCCTAATTTTTTGCAACGCGCACACTTTAAGCATAAGGTTGGAAACAATTTTTTTTTTAATTTATGCCAAATTTTGACAGTTTTTTGTGTAAACATCTGACAGCTTTGTCTGGTTAGACCAATGTTCAAAGAACTGATAGTGCAGGCCCACGCTTGTTGCAACTTTTCAAGTAAAATGGTGCCATTATGACATACAACAGGAGTGCAACGGTAAAACTATGACATTTTGTGCTTGGTGATTCTTTTCATGCAGTCCCAAAAATCAAAAAGCGAAGTCGCCAAGAAAAAGCGCTCGGAAGCGGTGCTACAAGCGTACAAGAAGCAGCAAAGCGAGCGACTGTATCCGGATGAAGATGTGCAGCCTGACCCCCTGGTAATCGCACATGCCAAAATCAGGCAACTGAAGAAAGAACTGAAGGAAGTCAGGCTGCAGAATTCCAGGTTGCAAACTGCATTGTGCTGCAAAGTCTTGCAGAAAGGTGTGTTGCAATTTAATTAATATGCAACCATCATGCTCACTTGTTCATGCTATTTTAGGGTGTGATGGTGTCTTACCCCTCCTTCCTCTGACCAGTGTCTTACTCCACCCAAAGCTTGTTTTAAGGACCACGTAAGAACATATTGTAAGAGTGCTGCCAATTTCGTTCTAGCGCAGGGTGCAAAACACATGACCCATAAATTGCACTTGGTTTTTCTGCGGCTTGCAGTGTGTCTGAAATTTTCGGGTACTTGCCCCAAATGCATCCGGCATAATAGCTGAAACTAGATTGATTCAGGATGAAGATACGCTTACTTCATTGTACATCATATAAACTTTTTCCGATAGTTTACGGCCATGTGCCAGCACATGCTGTAAATGTGGAGTTTCATTATATTAAAGTGATGTAAAAGTTAAGTCATGATTGTATTCTATATATTTGTTACTTAGGACAGACTCATTAATGACCGTCTAGTCTAGGCTGCCTGAGAGAGTCGGAATGTGAGCAAGCTAATGCCCACTGTCACATGTAAATTCTTTGGGTAACGTCCCCACGCCATCATCAAACAAGCTGAGTGGGGGGTACAAACTTCTTTCTAAGATAGAGTCTGTCAATACTCGTATCGATACTCTTTAGACTTCATTAGCAGTTTCACAATAGAATACATTTTCAGAACATCAGAGGAGGAGATCACATAGTGGGAGGGCACTGTAATCCATAAAGCTAAAAGGTTCTTGCACAGTCTGATTCACCAGCATCATTTCTGTTGCATATCCAGCAGACAGTCAAAGGGCTGCACAAGTCAGCCCAATCTCACTGGGGCAAAGAATATGCAATACTCTTTATGTCTGGCTCACAGTGCCTTTTACATCATACAAAAGAAAGTCCACAGTCTTCATTCAAGAACCCAAGTCATATTAACATCCATACTTTGATTGCTGCCTGTGAAGCTACTCCATGAACTGTTTGCCATGTGGCCTGCAAAGCACGGGCATTGTGGTAACTTGCATAAAAATCTGTGCACACCGTCCTGTGTATGTTTAAGTAGTGTGGCCATGCGACTCCAAACTTTAAAGTTTCTCATATGTACGTAGGGTTGTAAGACATTTTACTCTGTAGTATTTGTGAGACATTATCAGACTAATCTGAAAGTAGCATATCTTTTCTTCATATCTTATGGTGACTATAGCATTCCTGGACATGTAGAGTAAACTGAAGACAGTCTTGGCAGAGTCAAATTGTCAGCGAAGACAGCTGCATCATTTCGCGTTATGTGCGGCCTGCAAGGTTCTGAACTAAATTTCCTTTGACCCACAACATTTATGAGTTGTGCAGCCTTGTTCGAGTGTATGCAAAAAGCTTTTTCTTATCTTTTAGAACGGGAACAAGAGCGGGGCTATGCAAGGACAACAGGAGCCTGCAACAATCCTAGGCCATTCAGCCCTGCAGTACAAGGTTCTGGTGCTCCAGTGCCACTCGCTTCTGGGGCAGGTTCACAGGTGCAGGCATCTCCTTACATTCAACGTCCAGCATCGGTGCCCGCAAGCGTGCACTCAAGCCCTGAGGAGCTGCCCATTCCCGCCAGGGATCCATCCCCCCATGACCTTTTCGAGGTTGAGGAAGACCAGGCTGCTCCACTTGGACAACCAACCCTCTTCCAGACCGGAGGAGAAAAGGTAACCTTTCTCTTGAAGTGGTAGTTTCCGAACGTTGTTAACTGCATAGTCTTTCCCTGTCTCACTGTTTTTGTATGCGAGGTGGCATAAAAAAGTTTCGAACTCGCCTTATAGAGCCAGAGGGTATTACTTTAAATTTTATTTGACTGTCATAAACCTTGAAGTAGTACCTTCTCGAGCAAATAACGCGGCCCCGATGATTTTGTTATTGTTAGAGCGCCTTCTAGAAATGCTCTTTCTGGCTCTTCGGCGAATCCTCGTCTCTTTCAGAATCTCTTTATCTGACCCGAGGTTCATTTAAAAAAAATAAGGAACGATAAAATATTTATGTAGGGTCCAACAAGGAGAACATCAGAAGGACATGGACAATAACTAGACTGTTCTGGATCAAAAAGTGCTGCAGCTGCATCGGTGTTTGGGCTGGGGCATTGCCATGTTGAATCACTCAGTTGCCAGCAGCCCACTGATCTGGGAGCTTGAACTCCACACGAAAATTCGTCTTATATGTCAAGACCACCTGGGCCCGTTTGCTCGAAGCACTAACCGCGGCTAAAGTTAGCCGCAGTACGTAGGAGAGGGATTTTGAAATCACGTGACTGGCTCGGTAGGGATGCGGGGAAACATGGTGGCGCCCCAGCGAGTGAGCGCCGCTCGCTTTGGAAATAATATGTCGTTGTAGCTGCAATATCGAGCGCGTTAGTCAGCAGCGAATGGTGCAGGAGGCTTTCGCTTTGCCTTACCTCAATTAAACCGAAAAGCATGGGCAATGACATGGGCGCATTTTTTAGATAGTGTTTCGATTCTGGGCATTCCTAAGCCTAAATGAACGTGATAATTGTCGGCATGGCAACGTCTTTGGAAAGCGGATTGCCTCGACTCAGTCGGCCGGGTACTGATAGCACACAAAAGCAGACAGCGTCCCAACAGACTTTCTTCTAAATTATCCAAGCATCGCGAGGAGAACGCTGGAAGTGTAATTCTACGGTCCACGCGCGCTGGCCTTCCTCTTATAAAAGATTCGAAGTAAAAAATCATAATAAGGCTTTAATGAACGCGCGTGCAATGCAAAATTTGTTTTATACTTTTTGCTTTAGAACGGTTACTACTGCAGACGCCAGCATGTGCGACGCGTGCAACTACAGTCATAGCATGCACCTCGGTGCTTAGATAATTTAGAAAAAAGGTCTGTTGGGACGCTGTCTGCTTCTGTGTGCTATCAACAATCTGCTTTCCAAAGGTTGCCATGCCGACAATTATCGCGTTCATTTAGGCTTAGGAATGCCCAGAATCGAAAGACTATCTAAAAAATGCGGCGATGTCATTGCCCATGCTTTGTGGTTTAAGTGAGGTAAAGCAAAGCGAAAGCCTCCTGCACAATTCGTTGCTGACTAACGCGCCCGATATTGCAGCTACAACGACATATTAGTTCCAAAGCGAGCGGCGCTCACTTACTGGTGCACCGCCATGTTTCCCCGCATCCCTACCGAGCCAGTCACGTGATTTAAAAAAAATCCCTCTCCTAGGTACTGCGGCTAACTTTAGCCGTGGTTAGAGCTTCGAGCAAACGGGCCCTGAGCTCATCCTAACTTCTGTCAAGTTCAGAAATTTCGGAAATCCAGCTTGGTCGGTTTTAATAAATTGACAAGTGCTCTTTTTCTTACATCTTCAGGGGCTGCTAGTGTCGGAGGGCATCTTGTTTGTTCAAACTCAAGTGAATTTTGGGCAGATAAAATGTCTGTGCGATTCCCCAAATTTGTGCTTTTTCTAAAACACGGTCATCAAACAATTGCTCAAGGGGTTTCTGAGCTTCTGTCACGCTCTTTATAGTTTTCACACAATTTTATGCAACACGTTGTTTTAGATTTTTTTTAATCTTAAACAGCAGGGAAACACCTTCCAAACAAAGGAGTACAGCTCGGATTATCTTTAACTCTGCAAAAAGCAACTTTAACGCACTGAGTGCCAGACCTGCAAGGAAGTGTCATTTGATATGGCACTGCATTACCACATATTTTTTTTTCTATGATGCCACTTTGAGATTTTTTTGATCCCACCTCGTACTACCACTCCAAGCTTCTTATTTGTCTCTATTTTGACTTTGTGCAGTTCTGACAAGGCAGTATGACATCTGGTGGTTAGGAGTACTCTCTTGATACAGACCACTGATCTCAATGTCATATTGTTTGTCAATGTAGCAGTTTAGCATTGCTGCAGCTGCTGAGCCACCAGATTGCCACTACCAAATAGCACATTAACATGGACAATATCAGTTTCATTAAGTTGCTATCAGATGAAGCCACAACTGCACTACATTGTGCATTTTTACCAACTTCTCAGCTTTATATCAACATGGTCCTTACATGACAAATAGATATGGAGGTAATAGTAAATATTGAATTTAAAGTTGAGAATATTTTTTTTGTGGTGCCATACATGTACTGCTTTTGAGATGACTGGCAAACCAGAAAATAAACAAAAATAAACTTCACTGTTGATGTGTATTTTTGTTTCAGGTGTATGTCGGTGCAAACATCTGGGTACCAAGCAAGAGCTACTCGGACTTGCTCGCACGCACCAGAGATTCGCTGTTCGTTAGAGAGGCAGCAGTGATTATTTTTTCTACATCGGGCCTGGCAGGAAAGAGCGTCACCGGGATATCCTCCAACCGCACAAAGAATTCGCCGAAGCCGGCACTTGAGGATTTCAAGTTCAAGGCTCTTGGCAGTAAGAATTACTTTAACTCATTTCTTCTTTGTACTAGGGTATTTCTGCAACCAGGGACTAGTCTGTTAACATTCACATATATTTACTTGATTGAGGAAATGGCTGTAGTCCAGAGCTCATCTTGTCTGAATAAGATATGCTGTGAGCCATTGTATAGTGGTGCCATCGACTTCCAGAGGAAGCCTGCTATAGTGCAGATTTTTATTCTATGGCAAGCCTTGCTTTGCTTAAAAGAGAGTTGTCATAAGGCAAAATAGTGCCATAGTAATTAGAGGCATCTTGCTAGAGGCACAATATTATTGGAGTTTTTGCTTCGAGTCCTGGATCAATCAGTATCTGTTTTGCAGAAAAGAAAGCATACACCTCTTTTTCTACATCAGCTGAATTGAAGTATGTCTGTTTTTTGTAGCATTCTTCTTGCACTACCTGGTGCATCGTTGCAAGTGTAATCCCAAGTGCGCGACCACGTGCAAGTGTAAAGTCAAGAGCGATTGCAAGTGTGAGGCCCAGCATGGATGTCAGATCCCCAAAAGGCTGGCTCTTCTCAACAAGCATGTGGCTTCAAAGATTATGGATATTGCCAGACGGGAAGGTCGTAAGTGACTGCCCTCTCTCACAAGCTAGGGATGCAACTGAGCAGCTGGGCTATGTCTGTTAGTGATGGCAAATGGCAGCCTTTCAGTGTCCTCATTCGAAAGATCACTTTAAATGTTTAACCTTTTGCAAAATTACCCAAGCATCAAGGAGCTTGCAGGGAACATAGTTTGCACGTGCTGCGTGCGCCAATTGCCTTACCTGTAATAAACATTCGAAATCGCAACAAAAAGGCATTTGTGGATGCACGTGCAAAGTGCCACTTGTTTTAGATTTTTGTTTCCAAAAAGTTCTGGCACGTACAGCGCCTGTAACTATGTTCCCTGCATGCTCCTTGTTGCGTGCATAATTTTGCAGAAGGTCTATTCGCAGATCATAGGGGGTAAAATATTTTGCAGTCTGTCTTGCCACGGAGGTACTTCCATTGAAGTTTAAGTATTCTGTAATGCGCAGTTTATCTGTGGGCTGCGAAAAACCTCTGAATGTTTTCTTTGGCAAGCCTAGCTGTAATGATGGTAGAATTGGGACAATGTGCAATTCACTAGCATACCTGCCAACTCTTTCGAATTTTTCGTAAAATGTAAGAATTGGGACAAATTTTACGATTTTACGAATCTTGCTTCAAATCTTACGAAAAATATACTTTTTTTATTATTTTTTTTTTGTTGTTGTTTTTGTAACTCCGTTGTTGGCGGTATCTTGCACCGCCACAAGAGGACGATAGGTACCGTCCACAGCAGCGTCGTGGTTTTTACTATCCGTCTATTCGGTGGCCACGGATCGAAAACCAATCCAAAGCTCAAAGCTTTTGTTTGTGTGTTCGGCGGTGCACGGGTGCACATTGGTTCGGCGTGTTCAGACGTTGGGCCTGGTTGTTTTGGCCAGTTTCGAGGCGAGAAGTACGGCGTCTGTGTTTGTTGCATGTGCAACTGTAGCATTCTCCTGGTCACTGTGGCTCTGCGGCGCAATGCCGAACTCCAAGCCTCGAAAGAGGTACTTTCAGATGTTCCAGAAGTCCTACACGTCGAAATTTCTGTGCTTCGTGCCGTCCAAAAAGCAAGAGAAGTTAGGATTCTGTAGCACGTGCACGTGTGATGTAAGCGTTTTGCACGCTGTGCAGGCTGACATTAAGCTGCTCATCGCTTCGCGTAAACCCCCCCCCCCCCCCCCCCCCCCCGCCACGGCTGCGGGACTTTTACGAATTTGAAAGTCCACAGGTTGGCAGGTATGCACTAGTATCTATTCATTTATATCCATTTTATTTACGAACCGAAGAAGAACATTAAAAAGGGAAAACAAGGCTTGACCTGTATTCTAGTGCCCAATTTTATTTAGTCATTTCCCAACCATTGGGCTACCATCCTATCTCTTGAAATAATATTTACATTTGAATGCCCTGGCCTGTATAGATCTCTAATCAGACTGACACTGCACCTGCTCAATGTTTTTCAAGAGTGTGTTGTGACCTCCTTTTGCTCTAATGTTTGTAAACGACCAGATCTCATGTGATATTGATGTCTCGTAAATCTCAGTGCTGATTTTTATTACCCTGCCCTTTTGTTGGGTGGGCCGATTTTGTATGTGATATATATGCAAATACCCTATTTATGAATATTGCCTGCATCACTCATTGATTTTGTTTGCTAGTTAAATCAGGGCTCTAGTGCATTCCCATAGATTGGAATTTGTTGTCAGGAATGCACTAGATAAATATAAAACATGTAAAAAGTGTTATTAATGTGCATTGTTTATATGACCAACTTTCAATGCCTATTTTATTTGGTTCCTGTTAACAGTTTTCCTTATACCTTCCTCCAATACAAGAGCACAGTGTGATTTAAGCATACGTTATTTTTATAGCGGTAACAATTGAGTTGGGCGAGCCTCTTCGTGTGACAATATTTGGGTCCTGTTTGTCTTGGTGCTATGCTTGAGCTGCTTCTGTCAGTACCTTGTGTAAGCCTTTTTTTCTTTATGGTTGAGCTTACAACCTCTGTTTAATCTTTAATAGTTTTGTTTTATGCGAGCCATTCAAAGGGCTTTTGTCCATGTGCAATTTTTATTTGTCTCAAGTTTCTTCGTTGTGTGTGCGCTCCTGGTTTGCTTAGTTTTCTGTGCACCCATTATTTTCAAATCGAAGCATTGCAAATGAGGTAGTTGTTTTCGTGGACGTGAATGCGGACATTATTAATATATTTGAAGTGTATTTGCAAGGATTGCAATAAAGTGTACAATGGCAGACTATATTATATGCCTATCGCCTTTCCTTTAAAAAGGCCCACACACCAACGAACCCTAAGCTTATCGACTAGTATGGTAATACGCCAATATAGCAATAATCAATAGACGGATAGATCAATACGCCGATTGGCCAATACGCCGATTGGCCAATACGCCGATTGGCCAATACGCCGATAGGCCAATACGCCGATAGGCCAATACGCCGATAGACCAATACGCCGATAGACCAATACACCGATAGGCCAATACGCCGGTAGACCAATAGACCGATACGTGTCAATAAACCGATAGCCCTATTGGTTTTCTCTATCGGAATTTTTGTTAGGGAAGGTAATGAGGAAGCAGACAGACTCGCTACATCCTCAGGTAATCTTCCCCCGTCCTGTGGCTGTTTGCCACACCAAGACATTAAACCTCTAACAAAGTCATCCCTTCTTCGTTATTGGCAGTCTGAATGGAACATGGAGTGCAACTGTAAACTTCATATTACAAAGCCGGTTCTTGGGCTCTGGGAGAGCTCTTCTCAGAAGAACCGATTCCATGAAGTACTATTGTGCCGTCTTCGAATCGGTCATTCTTACGTAACACACAAATATCTTCTTAGTGGAGAGGACCCACCGGTGTGTGAACATTGTGGGGATACGCTTACCATCATGCATATCTTGTGGCTGTGTTCAGCTTTGGACAAAGAATGTCGTATTCACTTTCCTGAATTGTTTCACTTCCAAATCCCATTCCATCCTGTTCTTTTGCTGGGAGAATACCCCCTCATCCCATTTGACCGTTTGTTGACTTATATTACTAACGCAGGTTTTATTAATCAGATCTAGTTCCACATAGCTAATTATTATTTTGTAGCACAGTAACAATAACAGCTTGTTTTCTTTTTATCGTTGGCACAGTATGGCCTCCGTTGCTGTTGCGCTATAAAACCCGCAAACAACAACAGCCGCGTGCGCATCTGACCAAGTAGGCAGCGCACTTGTGGCCTAAAGGTTATCGCGCTTGCCTTCCACGCAGAACCCCGCAGGGGGCACCTGTGACAGCAGGTGTTTGGAGAGTGGCGTCTCCACGGACCCCGAGCTCCGCAGGGGGCGCCTACACCTTAGGTGCTACGTGCTTGGTGAGTAGCGTCACCACGGACCCTAGCCACTTTGGCAACACCACAGACCCTGAGTAAAAGTGGCTAAGACCCACCCACGTCTGGCTGTGCGTGGCGAGCCCGTGTCCAGGGAAAAGGGCATCCTGGTGGTTGAGCTGAGCCCGGGGTAGGTTTGGACCCTTCGGGGCCCCCCGGGCGAGGCAACACACCACTTTGGCCCCTGCTTCCTGTAGACGGGTGTCCTGGCTTGGCCCGACCAGGATGATTCAGTCAGTCGCCACATCTTCTACTATCCCCTCTTATCTTTCTCTTTTCTCTGCTCTTCTTTTATTCCTTTTCACCTTCTTTGGCGGCAAGGGCTAACCTTGGGTGGCGATAGACCCCTTGTCCGGATCCACACTAGGTTATAGTGCATGGGCAGCACTGGTAGTGTAATGTTGTCAGCAAAGCCATATTTGTTATGGCACATTGCCTACCCCCGTGTTGGGCTCCGTGGTGGGTGGTGCACCCGGGGCACCGAAATTCTCTCCCATCTCTATGGGTACTAAACAAAAAACCTTTCTTGATCGGCCCCCCAAAAGGGGCCGCACCGAAGTACATGCGATTAATACTGCTAGATCTGCAGAAAAATTTCCAAGATTCCTTGTGTTGCACTCTGAGAGTGAGAAACCTTTGGCGAAACATTCACCATTCCTTGTTTCCAAAACACTTGAGTTCATTCTTGGAAAGAACTTCTCTGCCAAAAAAATTACATCCGGAGATCTGCTCGTTGAGGTTAAAACCAGTGAACAGAGCACAGCACTCCTATCACTAAATTCAGTTTCTGACTATAAAGTGACAGTCACTCCCCACCGTACATTAAACACAGTAAAAGGTGTGATTTCTGAAGATGACCTTCTCGAAAGCACAGAAGATGAACTCGTAGATGGCCTCAGTGACCAAGGAGTTGTCGCTGCAAAGCGAATCTCCCTTCGTCGAGAGGGGCAAGAGATCAAAACAAAACATGTCATTTTGACTTCCGAGTTGAGCGAAGTTCCCGAGTCAATCAAGGCTGGGTACTTGAACTGCAGAGTACGGCCATATGTGCCGAACCCCAGGAGATGTTTCCATTGCCAGAGGTTCGGCCATAGTGCCCAGAGCTGCAGGGGCAAGACCACGTGCATCAAGTGCGGTCAGAACGATCACCCGTCAGACAACTGCGCAAACCCACCACACTGCGTCAACTGCGGCGAACCACACGCTGCTTACTCCCGTTCTTGTAAAAAATGGAAAGAAGAGAAAGAAGTAATTACCCTCAAAGTAAAAGAAAACATCTCGTTTGCTGAGGCCAGGAAGCGACTTTCTTTTCTACAGAAAGGATCCTTCGCTACGGTAACACGCACAGGGGGCGTGTCACCGAAAACCTCGGTGAAAACCCAGGTCTGTCCCAAAGACCTGGCAGCCCCACCGACACCCCCTGCCCCCCCAAGGTCGGCTCCACGACCACGTTTGTTGTTGGAGCCAAAAGATTCACAGTGCCTGAATGGTGCTGCCGCACCTCTCTTAAAGGAGGCAATGGACACCATGGCACCAAAGGAGGTATGCCCTCTAAAGGCATCAGGAGTGGTGCCTCTCGCACCACCCTCAGTCCTTAAAGAGGGTCCGTTGCAGATTACCTCCTCTAAGGAGCTGGAGCGGACACCCTCGTCGTCTGCTCGCTCTTCAGGCCGAGGCAGGGCTTTGCCCACTCCCGCCTCGACCAGCTCTCGAAAGCCTGGCCAGCT